AACTAGGACCAGGGGCATTTCCTGTTTATTTTGACGGCTCGCCATGCGGTGCACTATTGCGCCGGGGAACCCTTGTCTTGCGAGGTCGAGTTGGACCTCACTTGGCGAAACACCCGCAGGTATTCTGCGTATCACCACCCTCAGCGTTTTTTCTTCGCTGAGGGTGAAGATGTGGTACTCCTCGCCTTTGTCTGTCAGTGTCTTTGTCAATAGTCTGTGGTCGTTAGGGTATATGGCTATACCGTCTTTAGTCAATTTGGCTTTTGTGTAGTTAATGTTAAGTGTCGTGAGTATTTTTTGTACTTGCGTCCACCGTTCCTGCTTTCGCAAGATTACCGGGGGGACTTGTTTGGTTTTGTCTGTCTGTTTTTGTGTTTTTTGTGGGGTGTTTTGTAGGGCGCTTGTGGAGGGTGTAGGTGTCGGGGGGCGCGTGTTTGGTGTTTGTGGTCGTGTTTTGTTTGTTTTGTCTGATTTTTTATGTCTGGGGGCTTCGTCCTCGCTAGAGGGACAAAATGACTTAAATATGATAGAGGCTGTTTTAAATTTAGTCGAGGAGCAGCCTACTATTTCCACAAGAACAATTTCAAGACGATTGGAGATATAAACCAAAGTTTGGCGGATATTGCGCGAGAATTCTCTCAACCCGTACCATTTTCAAAAAGTTCAAGCTTCAAAACCAGCTGATTTCCCCAATCGTTTTGAATTTTGCAATTGGTTCCAAAATCGAAGTGCAGCAGAACCTAACTTTATTAATAAAGTGCTCTGGACGGATGAATGTTGTTTTACACGTGCTGGCATTTTAAATAGGTAAAAAACATATTACATTCTCAAAAACAACCTAAGTTACACCAAAGTTTACATTTACACTAAAGTTTACATTTATTATGTAAGCTTTGGTTATACGCAGCTGCATATTGAATAATAAATTGTGTATTGTTTAACATAATAAAATTATAAAACGTGAAAACGTTAATAATATTGAAAATGATAAATTGTAATAACCGTACATTGGAAAACCATCATCCCTATTCATTTGTCGTTTTACCATCAACATTAATGAATAAATAACAATTGTTATCACAATATTTAAGATAAATATCTATTTATCGTGTATCGAGACAGAAATGTTTGTTTACGTCTTGTATAGTGCCCGTGCCAATCAAAAATGGGTTAGAAGGTTAATGACTTGGACAGGTTAGCCTAGGTCGGAAACAGGTACCGAGTTGTTTATTTGTCTCCGTCCCATTGTTTTTTTTTATGGAATATACAAGTCTCTCTTCTATTACTTTTAGTCAATATTTAAATACTACATACATTTCACCCTCTCTTTATAATTTATCTAGTGAGTGTTAGTTTTTTATGTCATTATCTCTGTAATGAAATTGAAATGGTTATGAAATGAAATTTAAATTATTAGAACTCATGGAGTTTTGTTTGGAGTTTTGGAACTTCAATATTAAATTTTATTCAAAGTGAAACAGAGCTAATTTCTTTGCAGCCATAATAGTCACATTTGGTTAGATGTAAACCCGCACACTACTCGTCAATTTAGAGGAGAAATCCTATGGACTTTTGTATATGGGATTATATGAAATCTGTCGTGTATCACACCAAGGTAGAGAATGTAGAACAGTTGCGGAATCGTATCGAAGATGCCGCTGAAGAAATACGTAACAACCCTGGTTTATTCCATCGCATCCGCCGCTCATCTATCCAACGTGGACACTTGTGCATAACGGTAATTGAACATTTGCTGTAAGCCCGAAGCCTTACAGCAAATTAAAAAATTAACAATATGTTAATAAAAACCGATTTTTGGCAAGGCATGCTCAGACCTCCTCTAGGTTCTTGCTGGGCAACAATAACAATTTAAAATGTTGATTGCATAATTATAAAAAATAATTTATAGCATTTTAAATTATTATTGGCTGACGTGATCAAACCGTTTATTTTTTGTCTTTTTATGAGCGAAAATATATAAATATGGCAACGTTGCATCTAGGGCGCCTTATTCATATGGCAGCCGTGAACCGGTCAGTAACAGCCTGAAAAGGGGGTTAAATAATGATTTGAAAATATTTTTTTTCAGATTAAATATGCATTTAAATTTTTTTTAATCACGCCATCGTATTATACTCACATTTCTCTATAGTCTCTTAAAATTAATGACATTAAGACTGAATCTCACTCTGTATACATTTGTCAATTAAATAATATTTTAACTTAGATTTAAATCTAGCGGGAATCTCAATCATTTTTATTTCTAAGGGCAAGTTATTTATTACAAATCCTAGGTGAAATATTTTTATTAAACAATTTTGAAAAAATCAAACTTGTATGAACCGAGAGACATATAATGACGTCATATCAACATTTTGGGGGTGGTGGACACCTCATACGAGGCATGATTTTTGTCGGACAATTTCACCATAATTTTTTAAATATATTAAACCATTTTGAAAAAATCAAACTTGTGTGTACCGAGAGACATAATGACGTCATATCGACAATTCCGGGAATTGGGCGTTCAAAAACGCGGCGGCGTCGTATGTTTTCACAGAGGACAAGTTTGTCGGTCTCGTCGTAAAGAAGGCACTCACAAAATTTGGCACTTGTATGTGCCAATGAAACCCAAGGTCCTTGTACTGGGGACAATGCATGTACAATAACGTATTTTATACCGATTGCGACGTGTTACACAAATTTAATAGTTATTTTAAACAAAGACTAACATAATTCCCATACGAGTTGTGTTGCGGACCAGGTCCGTCAATGTAAATTGAAATCTCTTTTTAAAATTATCAAACCACAATATTTTAGAGCTCAAATTTCCAGACCGAGTCCAATGCAGTCCCGCAGTTGGCTAGAGTAACATGAACTCGAACCAATTGGACGGACCTGTTCCAATTGATCACTCGAATCAGTGACATATTCCATACCACTAATACCTGTTCCAATAGATCAGTTCCAGTTTCGCGTAGCCATTCAAATTTGTCTATTTTAAAAAATAATACTTCTCATCAACTATACGCGGAAAATGACAGCCTTTCCGCAGATAAAATTCAGCCTTTATTTACCCTATCTCTTCCAACCTCTTTTGGTAAGTAAAAATAAATTAATAATAAAATAAAAAGTAAGTAATTACATAAAAAACAATAATTTAACTACAACCAAAACATTCATGCTACATATTTTTAAAATTTGCCGAATGTACTTAGAAGGTAACAGTTTTAGAAATATTTTGGAGTAATTTATTAAAAAATACTATTCATGATATAAATATGTGTAGCTATACACCTACTTATTTATATTTGAGTTCCTTATTTAATAAAATAACGCATCTTATTTATCATAACTTATACCACAAGAGACGCAACATAAATTAAAATAACATGTAATATGTGGGCGATTTTTATATTGAGAAGATTGTACGTTTGAAATGGTTTCACCCCTTGCGGTTATTTCAGGCAACATTTCATATTTTATATAATCACTAGTATCGGTTAAATTTGGCAAATCAATGTAACTATCACTGGTATTTGTTAATCGTTCATATCTGTTCATTTTGTGGGTATTCAATTTTAAATACTTTTTAAGTTGCTCTACTAAAACGTCATTCCGTTTAAAAAGTGTATCCGAATTAATAATACGTTCATCGTCATTGAACTTTTCAGATTCCAGTGTAATATTTTCGGATGATTTTGATAAAATCATGTTAGTTTCTTTAATATGCGACGTCTCAATGTAGTCATAGGTGTATTTTGTACTTGGTTTAAATTTAAAATATTTAGAAACAGACTGCCGATTCCTTTGGTCAATGGGTAATTTTTTTCGTTTTGTGCAAATGTGTTGACAATCTGTTTCTGTTATATGATTTAATCTTAACTGATTGATGCATTTCCATAGCAGTTCTTCTTCCACTGCTGTTAAATGCCATTTTGAAATGTCCTTAGGTGTAAGGTCCTGAAACAAAAAGAAGGATTTTTAAGCACTATATCTAAATAAAATCTTCGCTAAAGTGTACTGAATTAATATATCGATATCAGATAGATTACTAAGTAGGTACCGAATAAGAAAATGTTTCTGATGAGATTGGTTCAACATTTAGATTATGGGAGTTTTGAACGCCAATACGCTTAATATTGAACGGCAATAAATTCAGATAATGAGAAATTAGGAACCAGATATTTTAAATGCCGTAGAAGAGGATTCTGGTACCAGTACTTGAAGATTAACCACAAAATTTCAAGCGTCATAAAAATCAGGTGAGTAAACAGATTATTCCATTTATTGATTACTGCTAGGTTATTTGTTTAGTACCGTTTCATAGTTTGTCTTATTTAAAAGAATTAAATTTTCGTTTTTGTGGGATGATGAGCGCTCAACAAAACTCAATCAAAATAACATGCCTTATGGTGGTGTGGAAATTTGCATTTAAATATGAGATTTGATAACAATGCATAGCCCAGTTCATAATAGGGCTTTTCGTCAAAACCTCTTTTAATGCTCATGCGTCCATATCGACCATCTTTTTCGTACTGTTTTTTGTAAACACGTGTTCACTTTTAATTAATTATCTAGCTCTTTATACCTTATTTTCATATTAAGTAATACATCAATATACAAGATCATTCGGAATAGATGCGTCATGAAAAATGAAAAAATTTTTGTAAAATTCTTAGTTTCCGAGAAAAAATTATTGAAGTTGTAGTAATTTCAACACTTATATCCCTGGGCTACTATAGTCTCTAGTGTCATCGGAATATATTCCATCCGCGTTGTGCATTGTGCGCAGTACGCTCTCTCCACGTAGCCCCAGCGATTCCGAATACTGAAATCTGATTTTATTATTAACGTTTTTGCAATAGTGTTACATTAGTTTTTCAAGTGTTAAAAATAGCTGACGTGTATAGCAACTCGAAGTTAGAGGATATCGTTTTCGTTTTAATTTATGGTGAAGCAATCCAACATTTATGTTATGGTTAATCAAGATAACATTTGTGTTAATTCATAGAAACTAAGGTAAGACGAGTCCCAATGTATCCGTGGACAACATTTTGAACAGTTGTTGTAACATCAGGTATGCAAAATTATTTTATTAATTAAAACTAGAAATTAATTTTATTAATTAATAATAACAATAACGGTAGAGCAGTTGAATTTGCTGATATTAAAATAAATGTTAAAATTTTTTATTTTTTTCTCTACTTGCGAGATTTTTTCAGTTTTTGGTCCGTTCATTTTTTATTACTCTTTGCCGCCGTGTCGGTCGCCAACTGCATGCTTTGCCTTGCGCAAGGTCAGGTTTTACATTAGACCAGTTTCCAGTGCCGTGCAGAAGTGTATTTTTAAATCATTTTCGAACTGCCCTTTTTGATTTTCTTTTACAAAATTGTATTTGTAAAAATCCCCAGTACATTCAATTTTTTCTTGATAAGTTCTGAATCATCCTGTATATAATAAAAACTCTCATGTTTTGCTTTAAATCATTAAATTATTTATTTTCTTAATAATACTCATGATTAATTACACAGCCACACAAAAAAAGAAAAGTTGTCTGTGCTTTTCATGCGACATATGTTATCTGTAGTATTTTTGCCTCCTGAAAAAAATTCATGAAAAAATGCTAGGAAAAACAATTTTTTTTTCTGTATTCAAATGTTCATTTGGTTCAATGGTTCCTTTTATAACCTCAAAAAACCGGATCAATTAAGGTCAGATATCACGAATTTTTCAAACAATAACAGATTCGCGCCAAATTTTTTTTGCGAGGGTTTTTTGGATCGCTGATCACGAATCCGAGGTCAATTTTGCAAAATTCAAGATGGCGGATCCAAGATGGCCGACCAAATTTTAAAAAATAACAAAATCGCAGCAAATTTGGTATACGGGGGTTTTCGGGGTCGCTGACTACGGATCCGATGTCAATTTTGCAAAATTCAAGATGGCTAATCCAAAGTGGCCGACCGGCCTTCAACAGGGGACAGTACACTGGTGCTGTCTTCCTGGACGTCGCAAAGGCCTTCGATACAGTTTGGCATGAAGGCCTATTGATGAAAATGCTCACCAACCAATATCCCATATCCTTTACTAAACTCATAATATCCTACCTACACCACCGAAAATTCCGCCTCTAGATCCAAGATTCCCTTTCCACCACCTGTCCCATGGAGGCCGGTGTCCCCCAGGGCACCGTCCTGTCCCCACACCTATACACCATTTACAACTCCGACATCCCACATCCCCCCAACACCAACATATACTTATACGCCGACGACCTGACAATCACATCCCAATCCGTAGATCCTAGATATTCCGTCTCCCTCCTCCAAAACTCCTTAGACCAACTCGAAACCTGGTGCAACAGGTGGAAAGTCAAAATTAATAACAACAAAAGTTCGGCTATCCTTTTTACCAAACGAAAAATCCCACAAAACCTCGACAGACTGACACTATCACTGGAACCCATCTCCTGGAATCGACAAATACGATACCTGGGCGTGACGATGGACCAGCGTCTCACGTGGAAACCGCACATCGTGGAGACGGTGGCGCGAGCGAAGACCACCAGGGCTAGGCTCTATCCCTTACTCAAAGGTGGAAACACCCTCAGTTTAAGGAATAAGCGAACGCTTATCAAGGTGGTACTTCAACCGCAGCTAACCTACGCCTCCACGGCGTGGGGTCACGCGGCAAAAAGCCACTTAAAGTCATTACAGGCTGTGGAAAACATAGCCCTCCGCACGGCCACCGACGCGCCCTGGTACGTAAGAAACACTGACATATTACGAGACTTACAATACACAAACGCTACACAGACAATAAGACAAAACGCGGAGAAACGATTTGACGTAGCCGCTAGACATGACAATCCCCTCCTCAGGCAAGCCGTTGACTACGTACCCGACGTGACCGACAAACAGAAAAGACCTAGACACCAACTTTTTGACCCTGGGTCGATCCAGAAAACCCCCTTATACCAAATTTGATGCGAATCTGTTATTTTTTGAAAATTTGGCCGTCCATTTTGGATCCGCTATCTTAAATTGACACCAGATCCGTGATCAGCGACCCCGAAAACCCCCGTATACCAAATTTGGCGCGAATTTGTTATTGTTTGAAAATTCGTGATATCTAACCTTAATTGACCCGTTCTTTTGAGGTTAAAAAAAGAAATTTGCAACTGAAATTTGTGACCAACTTACCCCAATTCAAAAGTTAACTCCTAAAATATAGACCTGCAAATTTAGTTTTGCGATACTAGATTTAAATGGGTTTTATCTCAATAGACTTCTGGACTATCTGAAAAGGTTTACTGCTGCAGAAAGTTAATTATTTCTATTATTTTCGTATACAAGTATACTTTTTCTATTGCAAAGAAAATCAATGGAAAAAAATTTCTTCGAAGAATCATTTTGATGCTGAGGTATATTCGACTATTTGCTTTAGTCTGATTGTGACTTGTGAGTTAAATTTTTGACACCAAATTATGATTCAGTCTAATAATATTAAAAATGATTGTGAGGCCCGTTGGTTAACGTCTAACTTGAAAGCAAAAATCACTTTCTTATATTAATTTTAATTAGGAAGCAGTAATTTACTCTGAAAATAAAATTTATCTTAATAAAAAATATATTTACAAATTTATGTTTAATGGTAATTAATGTACATACTAACCTGTGTGAGTAAAACTGTGACGAAAAAACGCGTTTTACATATTGTGCTTATAGCTATATATCAATGTATTCGTAAGAAAATATCCCTGGTAGCAAAATCTTGCACAAGTCACTTGTACAAGACTGCTGTGTACCTACCTACTGCTAAAATCAGCATCAGGTTTACTGCAAGATTCATTGTGCAATTGTCTTGATCAAAGCTTTCAATGGATTTGATTCAGGGCACTTGAGCACAAAGGGGTAAATTAAAGCACACAACAAATAAATAATGTAGGCCCAGTACTTTGAGTCTCGGTTAAGGCTTGATTAACTAATCAGGCGATTAGACTGTTATTATCATTTATAAAATAAATCAGTAGGTATATGTATACAGTCTAATCAACCGATCAGTTAATCGAGACTCAAAGTACCGGCCCTTAAGAGTAACAAAAAATGTTTTTGATTTGATTTTACATTTAAATGTAAATTATTTTGCTAGTGAAGTTATCCTCTCTCTCACACACACGCACACATATCAGTATTTTGACTTATTTTAGAATTTAATAATTAAAATTATTGTAATCAGTTTAATGTACTAAAATCTTTAGTGAGTTCTTATTATCAACTAAAATACGCGGAATTAGCAAAGCTGTAAAACATTTTCTGACGAATTTGTAATATTTTCTGAAAATACTATCTTGCCAAAAATCGTCCTATAGGCATATACAGTTCTAAAATTGATAAAAGATATTTGAACAAAAATTTATTTTGCGAAAATTTGTTTGCAATTTTTCCATGGAAATGGCCCTGCAGTCGATTATAAGGTTCTCGGAGGTTCAGAATTTCCGAAACATTGAAATTTTCTAACATATTGTAAATATTTTTGCGGATATTGATAATATGGGTATTTGAAATTTCTTCAAATCCTGACTGCATAAACCAAAACAAAGGAAACCACATAAATAAGAACGATGTCATTGTGCTAAATGGTATTTTCAATTCATATGTGACGTCACTGCAAGACAAGTTTATGATTTTGTTTAGGTACCTACATAATTTATTAGTATTTTAAAATTTCAAACTCACCAGCAATTTGCTTCCATCTATTTTATGTTCCTCAATAATCCTGGCTGCTTGATAATGTCCAATCTAAATATATCAACAAAAAAAAGTTATTGCAATTAGGTATAGATAATAGTACACCCAGGTAAATAATGTACTGTGGTTGGAAAGATGTACCATATGTCGACTAAGGGCATCGTTATTCTGTAAATCCGTAGTACCTTCTCATGTAGGTAATGTATCTCAAAATAGTTTGATTATTACAAAATAACAAACTCTTAGGACATTAAATTAAAGAATTAAACTATGAAAAATGTTTGTTAAATAATGATTAGGAATGCCAATGATTTGCTCTTACCCTTTGGATAAATTTGATTAATTCTTTTTTTTTAAGCAATTTGAAGTTACACATTTTACAACTCATATTATGCCCTAATGATGTGCTACTGATTTGGTCACAGAAAGAACACTATATGTTCTAACTTTACAAATGCAACCACATCCGTTTTACAATGAATTTACTTCTCGTAGAGAGTGATAATTCCAAATTAGCACGGTTATGTAGTGATATTTGTAGGATGATGAAACTATTATTAAAACCTTTATTTACATAGGGATGGATTGTGAAATTGAATCGTTATTCAGAGTGATTTACCCGAAAGAAAATTATTGCTAAAGATAACCACATCTGCCTGGAACTAAAATTTTCAGTTATTTATAATAATACTTTTTCACTTTCATATACAAGGTGATCCACATTTTATTTAAAAATATATTTGGAATATACCTATACAAACAAAGAAGGACTCTTTGATAATTTATGATTACAGTCAATCCGCATATATAAAAAATTTGCGCAGAAAATATGAAAACAATTTTAAAACATAATAAATAAATATTAGATTTTTTTAGCCATCTCAGCTATTGGATTTGTAATTGTTATTCATTCTTACTAATCCTACTAATATTAAATGTAGTCAGTAAATGTTAAATCGCAGTTTTATCAAGAAAAAATACGTAATATGTTCAGACATATCATGAATAGTTCCCACTTTAGTATAATACTTTCTCAAAAAGAGCCGAGGAGGTTTGTCAGGATACGGTGGTGGCTATTGTGCTGGTCCTCCTCGTCCAAATTGGACGAAGTATGATGGATTGAACGGGCCAATCCATCATACTTTCTTGAACTTCATTAAGGTAATGCAAGAACCATATTCGTCGTCGAAAAGCTAAAAGTACATCTTCAAGAAATCCAGGCGGATCATTTCGAAAAATTTAAAACCATCTATTCGATTTGGCAATATGAACGATTCAGCTAAGCGATCCTTAATAATCCCTGCTCGAACATTAAAAGTAAAATGGGGCTGGATGTGGTCCCGTTGACTCCTGTATATTTCTAAGTTTTCACACATGTGCATTTTGATCTTTATTTATCCTATTTCTATTACAAATCTAACCTCTAACGAATAATACGCTGATACTAATGGACACACTTGGGGATGCTGACATTGCTAACTATGACTGTGAACTGTGATACATTTACCCCTTGAGTAATAGGTGCACACTATGATAGAGACACTCCAATCATTTGTCGCATGATTTGACTTGAACTACATGGGGATTTCCTTCTCTATAATATTTAAAATGTGCTGCATCAATATGCAGTGGACGTCCATGACCTCCATCTCTTCTATAATTTGATCGTAAATTTCCTCTTTTATGCCTTTGTAAATTATCTTGGTAACTTTAGCAGCATTTGGCATATCTTTCCTAAAAACGCGTTCTAATACAAACGAAGAGTATATAGGCCATTTCGAGCACTTGTGAGATTGGTGTAAATAATAAACCACAGTAATATGAGGACTGTGAATACCGCAATAATACTGAATAAATAGGCATTTGTCAATTTAAATCAGCCAAAGCTACCTGGAAGAGCGCGCGCAAAACGATGAGATACATTTTAATACATAGTGCTTTTAAAAGATAAAAAATATCACCAACTTTTTTTTATATAAGTTGTGAATCACCCTGTATAGTCGGAACAAGATATTGTTAACAAATGTATTTAAAAATTGAGTCGACATTTCTTTTTATTTTTGAAACGTTATTAGTTGCATTACAATGGTAATTCCATGGTATTTACAACACAGAAATTACTTTTTAAAAGTACCTCCATCTTGTTATATTCAGGATGTTTCAAAAATGTGATGCCAAACTTGAGGTGGTTATAGAGGACATTGCAGAAGAAAATTTTTTGTATATAAACCCCTAGTCGGACTCCGCGGTCGAAATTATAGAGAGTGACTCGGACATAATATAAAAACACTATTACCATAACGCGTATAAAATATACAATGATTTTTATAACGGTTCAATATTATTTATCTTTGTGCCGCTCGCTACGCACATCCATAGAATCTATAATCGTCTATAGACTGAGTTACACTAAACGTCGATCTATATTCTATCTATGTCTTTTGCACTTGGTAGGGAATAGGGAAATGCTTTTTTAGTGGGTGTAAACGGACTTGATTTACCCGTTCTGAGGAACGTCATATCATAAGCGTAGACTAGGGGTCTAATTCCGTGGCTATAATAAATTTATAAATTAAAATACATAACTGGGACGTTTTAAAATGTTGTAATAATTAAAATGGATCAAAGTGCCGGTTATAGCAAAGCGTAAAAAATATTAAATGTTATGTTTTATTATATTTTTTCCATATTTTCTACATCTTGTTGCCTTTTACGTATACACGCCAATGGATTTTCGTTCCCGGCACGTTTCATCCCCCTTACTAGTCCAAGAGCTAGCGATGAGTCACTCTCTATAATTTCGACCGCGGAGTATAGAGATCATACAATTGGTTACATAAGCCATACAGGCCGTCGGCATCTTTGTTACAGGTACCTGTGCCGGGGTTATGCTCTGGTAAGTCCCACTTTTACTTATTTATCAGTTATTTGCATTACTTTAGAATACATTTCTTTAAAATTGCGACCCCCGACAAGCAATATACCAGACAGACAAATACACCAAAAGACACGTACGCCCCCGTAAGGGGGCATCCCCACACGACTAAAACCTACACACCC